AAGAAGGTTCCCGGGGGTCCTCAGATGCTGCAGCTGAGCCTGGACGGGAGGAGGCTCTACGTGACCACGTCCCTGTACAGCGCCTGGGACCGCCAGTTCTACCCCGAGCTCATCAGGTGCCCAATTCCTGGGAATTCTTTGGGAATTCATCAGGAATTAATGAATAATTAAATAGGAATTGATTTTTAGGAGCAGCATCAAACCCTTTGCCCAGCCCCAAATGCTTTTCCCAAGCTCTTTTGTCAATCCCAAACCCTTTTCCCAAACACTTTTCCCAATCCCAAACCCTTTTCCCAACCCAAATCCTGTTTTCCATCTTTTTTTCCAACTCCAACCCCTTTTCCCAATCCCAAACCCTTTTCCCAAACTCTTTTGCCAATCCCAAACCCTTTTCCCAACCCCCTTTCCCAATCCCAATCCCTTTTCCCATTCCTTTTTCCCAGCCCCAAACTCTTTTCCCAAACCCTTTTCCCAACCCCAAACCCTTTTCCCAATCCCTTTTCCCAAACCCTTTTCCCAATCCAAATCCCTTTTCCCAAACCCTTTTCCCAATCCAAATCCCTTTTCCCAAACCCTTTTCCCAATCCAAATCCCTTTTCCCAAACCCTTTTCTCAACCCCAACCCCTTTTCTGAGCCCCTTTTCCCAATCCCAACCCCTTTTTTCACTCCCTCTTTTCTCATCCCTTTTCCCACCCCCTTTTCCCACTCCCAACCCCTTTTCCTACCCTTTTCCCGACCCTTTTTCCCGTCCCTTTTCCCAATCCCATCTCCTTTTCCCACCCTTTTCCCACCCCGTTTTCCCAATCCCAACCTCTTTCCTCACCCCATTTTCCCACCCTCTTCCTGACCCCTTTTCCCAATCCCAAACCCTTTTCCAACCCCTTTTCCTGAAACTTTTTCCCACCCCAAACCCCTTTTTCCTGTCCCTTTTCCCACCCCGTTTTCCCAATCCCACTCCCTTTTCCCACCCTTTTCCTGACCCTTTTTCCCACCCCAACCCCTTTTCCCAACCCCTTTTCCCACCCTTTTCCCACCCCGTTTTCCCAATCCCAAACCCTTTTCCAACCCCTTTTCCCAACCCCTTTTCCCACACTTTTCCCACCCCGTTTTCCCAATCCCAACCCCTTTTCCCAACCCTTTTTCCTCGTCCCTTTTCCCAATCCTACCCTCTTTTCTCACCCTTTTCCCAATCCCTTTTCCCAACCCTTTTCCCCACCTCCAACCCCATTTCCTGACCCTTTTCCCACCGTGTTTTCCCACTCCCACCCCATTTTCCCAATCCCAACCCCTTTTCCAACTCCATTTTCCCACCCTGTTCCCAACTCTTTTTTCCACCCCAACCCCCTTTCCTGACCCCTTTTCCCAATCCCAAACCCTTTTCCAACCCTTTTTCCCAATCCCACCCCCTTTTCTCACCCTTTTCCCAACCCCTTTTCCCGTCCCTTTTTCCCACCCCAATCCCTTTTCCCAACCCCTTTCCCCACCCTTTTCCCAAACCTTTTTTCCAAATCTTTTCCCACTCCCACTCCCTTTTCCCATCCTTTTCCTGACCCTTTTTTCCCATCCCATTTCCAGGGAGGGCTCGGTGATGCTGCAGCTGGACGTGGACACGGAGCGGGGCGGGCTCAGCGTCAATCCCGAATTCCTGGTGGATTTTGGGAAGGAGCCCCTGGGACCCTGCCTGGCCCACGAGATGCGGTACCCGGGGGGCGACTGCACCTCCGACATCTGGCTGTGATCCGGGATTTTGGGATTGGGAATTTGGGATTGGGAATTTGGGAATGGGGGACTGCACCTCCGGCATCTGGCTGTGATTGGGAATTTGGGATTGGGAATTTGGGATTTGGGATTGGGAATTTGGGATCGGGGAATGGGCGACTGCACCTCCGACATCTGGGTGTGATTGGGGAATTTGGGATTGGGAATTTGGGATTGAGAATGGAGGATTGCACCTCCGACATCTGGGTCTGATTTGGGAATTTGGGATTGGGATTTGGGAATTTGGGAATGGGGGACTGCACCTCCGACATCTGGCTGTGATCCGGGAATTTGGGATTGGGAATTTGGGATTGGGGATTTGGGAATGGGAATTTGGGAATGGGGAACTGCACCTCCGACATCTGGGTGTGATTGGGGAATTTGGGATTGGGGATTTGGGAATGGGGGATTGCACCTCCGACATCTGGCTGTGATTTGGGATTGGGAATTTGGGATTGGGAATTTGGGATTGGGGATTTGGGAATGGGGGATTGCACCTCCGACATCTGGCTGTGAATTGGGAATTTGGGATTGGGAATTTGGGAATTTGGGATTGGGATTGGGAATTTGGGAATGGGGGACTGCACCTCCGACATCTGGGTGTGATTGGGGAATTTGGGATTGGGAATTTGGGATTGAGGAATGGGGGACTGCACCTCTGACATCTGGCTGTGATTGGGAATTTGGGATTGGGATTTGGGAATTTGGGAATGGGGGACTGCACCTCCGACATCTGGCTGTGATCCTGGGAATTTGGGATTGGGAATTGGGGATTGGGGATTTGGGAATGGGGATTTGGGAATGGAGAATTCACCTCCGACATCTGGGTCTGATTTGGGATTGGGAATTGGGAATTTGGGAATGGGCGACTGCACCTCCGACATCTGGGTCTGATTTGGGATTGGGAATTTGGGATTGGGATTGGGGAATGGGGAATGCACCTCCGACATCTGGCTGTGATTGGGAATTTGGGATTTGGGATTGGGAATTTGGGAATGGGGGACTGCACCTCCGACATCTGGGTGTGATTTGGGATTGGGAATTTGGGATTGGGGTTTGGGGAATGCACCTCCGACATCTGGCTGTGATTTGGGATTGGGAATTTGGGATTTGGGATTTGGGATTGGGGAATGCACCTCTGACATCTGGGTGTGATTGGGATTGGGGTTTGGGGTTTGGGGAATGGGGGATTTGGGATTGGGGAATGCACCTCTGACATCTGGATGTGACCCCAGGAATTTGGGATTGGGGGAGTGCGGGGACTGCACCTCCAATATCCGGCTGTGATCTCAGTAATCCAGGATTTATCCCATTTTTTTATCCTTCTTCTATGCTTTCCCTCTCCATTCCCCTTTTTCCCCGGAATTTGTGACTCACAGAGCTTTATCTGTTGCCTAAATTCCCAATTTCTGAGCGGATTCTCAAAAAATCATCTCTTTGTGCACTGATAAAAATCAAAATTCCAAATAAAATTCTCCTTCCAGCAGCTGAAAATTCGTGGGTTTTTTTTAGGTAACTCCAAATATTATTTTCTTTTTAAGGTTTTTAAGTATTTTTTGCATTTGTTTCAAAAAAACCAGTCATTTTCCAACATTTTTCCATATTTTTTGCTGTATTTCCAATAAAACTGGGTATTTTTTGTTGGAAAAGACACCTGATGATGTCATTTTCTATCTTTTTTTTGCTGCATAGAGATAAAAGAGAAAAAATAGGGATAAAATAGAAAAAATCAGGATAAAATGGGAATAAAATGTAAAAAATAGAGATAAAATAGAGATAAAATGGGGATAAAAGAGAGCTAAAATAGAGGAAAAGCGGAGATAAAAGAGGGATAAGATAGGGATGGAATAGAGGAAAAAATAGAGATGAAATAGAGAAAAAAAAAAGGAATAAAATAGGGGTAAAATAGGGATAAAAGAGAGAAAAAGTAGGAATGAAGGAGGGAAAAAACCAGAAATAAAATAAGGATTAATTAGGGATAAAATAGGGGTAAAACAGGAATAAAAAGGGGATAAAAAGGGGATAAAATAAGGATAAAATAGGGGTAAAATAAGGATAAAATGAGGGTAAAATAGGGATAAAATCCATTCTTAGGACGAAATCTTCCCAAAAAGAAGAAGCCGAGGGAATTTCTCCCAGAACCCTGCAGGAATTGCCGGGCAGCCCGTGCCTGTCCCGGGATTCCCCAGCCCCGGGCAAACCGGGCTCGTTTGGCCCGGGATGAACCGGGAATGAGACTCGAGAAACTGCGGCTGCTGCGGGAACGGCTTTATTGGGGTCTGGAGGG